GATAGAAACATGGGAAATTAAAGCACAAAACGAAAACACTAAAAGGATTGGTGCATATATTCAGGTTAGTTTTTAGTTCTTTTTGCAGGCTGAAGCTAACTGCTGTTCTTCTTATAGATTCTTTTAAACTTCAATGGACATTTGCTTTGCTGATTTTATTTGCTTTCATTTTCTTCATGGCTGAGATTATAAACCAGAATTATTTGTTTGAACGAAATTTAATGTTCTCAGTTATCAGAGCCTTTCCTGATCATTTGATATTTTTGAAAATGCTATGTTAAATGAGATGTTTGCACTAGTTTCACTTAGGCAGCCCCAATATAATGTTTGAGCCCTGGGTGATGGAAAGGACTGGAAGCTTATCATCAGAGTTGTTAGCCACATTCATCATCTGTATGCTTGAGGTGAAAAAGTGAAAAAAATACATTAATGAAAAAAATGCAATTACATTCATTCACAGGCTTGGAAGAAATCTCTAGTAAAAGGCAGGTACAATATGTTCCTTTCCCAAGGATTCAGAAAATTGCAAAACTGGTAATGGATGCTACAAGAATGCAAACATAGTTTTCCAGGTTTGAAAATAGAAATAGCATAGTTGATAAAGTCAATTTGTCTTTTCCATAAAATGCAGAAAGGAAGGACAGATAAAGACATCTATGGAAGCAATGGAATGGAGGGTGGGGAGGTGGGGGAGGATTAATTATTTCTATCCCTTTTCCCATCTAGCTGGATCAATTAGAGACACACTTTCTAAATTTTGACTTTCTAACACAAAAGATCAGGGATTACAAAAGTCTGAACCCACCTGTACTTTCATGGATTATGAAGGCTGAATGCATTTACATGCTACATTTGATCCCCATATCAGGATTAAGAATAATTTTCAGTAAAAATGACACTACTTTAATTTTCATTTGATGATGGATATTTTGTTTATTCGCTTGCTTACTTATAAATGACAGCGGCTGTATTAACATTTTAGAGGTTAATGGTTCTCCAGTAACTGAGATTTAGTCAATATTTAAGAACATCTAATATGATAATGACATGCAACAGCTATCAGTATGCAACATAACTTGAAAAGAAAAGGAAAGAAAATTAACATAGTCAGAGTGGTGGGCAATCTTGGATGGATTCAGGTGGCACAGAGTTCCAACATCAGAGACTGGTGAGAAGAACTGATGGGCATCATGAGATGGCATGTAGAAACCTGACTGGGCAGGGGTGAGGAGGCTATTAAATTTAGGGTAGTAAATTGGAGAACATGAGAAGTATGTTGGATGATGACTGAACAGAGCATGATGGCCTCTGACTGGATAATATTATATAGAAAGTATGTACAAATGTATATCTGTTTATTAAATGGAGAATGCATTCATAGTGGGAAGTCTGAAAGAGAGACAAAACATACCTTTTGTTTTGGAAGTGGGAAAGAGAAAAATTATTTTTGGAGCAATCCTCAAAGAGGTAGAACTGTGGATTAAAAGGAATAATGTTGTTAGTTTGGAAATCAGACATCACCTTCATTCCCAGAATCTAGGGCAAATTGTTTATCTTTTACCCGTATCAATTTGGTTTTTTTTAAAAAAACATTTGGGTATTTTTCTGCAGCAGCTAAGCTTGCTAGATGGATTTTCCAGATCATAAGAAGTGGACCTATTTAATGAAATAGAAGTCGATTCTATTTCATTAAAGTAATAAAGACCATTTTAAACACTTTTCATGTGTTAACTACAATCCAAATTACAAGTATTTTCTAAGTTTAAAAATGTAAAGCAACTGAACATAAAACCTGATATTTTTCTATTAACTAATATTGCTAACTCTGTAGGGAAAGAGCATCACGTCTTAACATGAATTATTGGAATGAAATTAGCTTTAAGAATGGAAGGATACTGTAAAAGCAAAGACATCATGAGGGGGTAGATCATTCTTTGTAGCTTCTGGAATGTATGAATAAACATAAAAACTAATGATTGTATGTCTTTCTTCTTAAGATCACATAAACAAATTATTTGATATCACTCTCAACTCTGAAAAAAATAGGGAAAATGCTGTTGTCATAAAAACAATGCACTTTTGCATCTCAGACTTTGTGGAACTCAGGAAACAAAACTATAGACAAGATTTGCGGTGTTCATACCATATTGATGGAATCTGACATACATCAGCAAAATTGGTCAGATTTGCTGTCAAAAATGTTTCCGATATGTTGAAATCATGCGAGAAAGGGAGATACCACATGAGCAAAATCAATGTCTATTTGACTTCATCTTACTCTGCATCTTTTACTGGCGTAAAAAAAAAAAAATCAGCTCCAGAAATATATCTCCTGTTGATGTACTTGGAGGAAATACATATTTAAAAGAACAGCATCATTTATTTGATAGAGGAGAAGGCATCACACATTTCAATTCCCAGTAATGACACTCTAGCAGTATAAACATATCACATACAGGCACTGGCTTTATATTGCTCAGACATATAATTCACAAGAATTAATTTTAAAGTAATTAAAATTTGCACCCAAAGGGAACATATAGCAAAACAAATTGTCTCCAGAGGACAACTGGGAACTTAAACAATAGCTAATGGTTCTTTGTTCAGCATCCTTATGGTCATGTTGTTTTAATTTGTCAAACAACAATATCCCAACTGCAATATTCATGTGGCTCCAGTTGGATACCTGGATGAAGTACTTGACACAGTTAAGTCTCTGAAGGAGAGAGGGGACCATGTTAGATTTGCAGCAATAATTCCCACTCCCCCCATATCTTGCTTTTGATTGTGTCTTATCTTACCTGTATAACTTTATACCCCTCCATCACTGAGTACTGTGGATGAGATTACCTTGCAGAGGAGGCAGCCATCCCCACATGTGTCTGCTACGACACTGGCAGGATGATGAAGCCTGCCTGGAAAAGTGATTCCATGGAGGGTTAAACAGACTAAGCACCCTGGCAACTACTGTTGAGATTTCTTCTAAATGCATGGAATATCATGTGCCATGAG